TGACCTAAGTGGCATTCCCCCTTGCACCATATAGTGGTTGGCACTTGTTTCTTTCTTTATTCATGAGATGGGGCATCACTGGCAAGGCCAGCTTTTGTCACCCAGTCCTAATTACCCTTAAACCAAGTGGCTTGCTAGAAGGGGCAGTAAAGTATTAACCGTATTGCTTAGAGTCTGGAGTCCCACTTAGGGCCAGACCAGGTAAGAATGGCAGATTTCCTTCCCTGAAGGACAGATGGGTTTTTAATGATAATCCACGATAATCATAATTTTCAGATTTATTAACAGAATTTAAATTCTACCAACTCTTCTGGTTGGAATTGAACGCATTTGCCCCCAAAAATTACCTGACCTGTGGATTACTAATTCAGTGACATTTCTGCTACACTACTGTCTCTCTATATCAGAGCAATAGTGAGGCAGCTAACACGACTGTTTGTCACAACCACAAAGGATTCACCCATTCGAGGATCAGTGTTTACTTGGAATGGTCAGTTTAAGCTTCTGGCCATTCCCCAGTTGAGGGATGAGAGATACAACATCAAGATGTGCCTTGGCATCATTCTAAAAGATTTCTGATGGTACAGCTGAGGTGGACCGACAATGGTACTCCAAAGCCAAAGGAGTCACAGAATCACTGAAGTATTTCAGCACAGAAAGAGACCATTCAGCCCATCGTGCCAAATGTGCATTATTACCTAGTACCAATCTCCTGCTTTTTCCCCATAGCCATGTCTACACAAATACCCATGTAACACCCTCTTGAATGTCTTGACAAAACCTGCCTCCACCACATTTCCAGAATGGGGATGACCAACGGCCTCCATTGAAACAAAATGTATTTCAAAGTTTAATTAATCAGAGAATCGTAGAATCCCTACAGTGTGGAAGCAGGCCATTCAGCCCATCAAATCCACACTGATCATCCAAAGAGCATCCCACCTAGACATACCCCTCTGCCCGATCTCCATAACTCTGAAGTCCAGCAGCTTGGTTAAGCAAATTAAAAGTCTGTGGGTCTCCATAAATAATCACAAACAAAAAGGCAATAGGAGCAGGAATTGGCAATTCGAACCTATGAGCCTGTTACACCATTCTGATCAGGATTGATCATCCAAAATCTGAAATCCAATTGCAGATAGCCTGTTCCTGCTTTTCTCCAACATCCTTCGATCCCTTGAACCCCAATCACTATATCCGACTCATTCTTGAAATCATTGGACTCGACTGCATTCTGTGTTAGCAAATTCCACAGGTTCATCACTCTCTGGATGAAGAAATTTCTCCTCATCCCAGTCCTAAATGATTTACCTTGTATCTTTAGACTGTGATCTCTGGTTCTGGACTCCCCCACCATTTGGAATATCCTTCCTGCACCCACCCTGTCTAGTCCAAACAGAATTTTCTATGTTTCTTTGAGATGTCCCGCCAGCCCCCCACCGCCGTGTGCACCCGCGCCCCCCCCGCCCACACACACATACACTCATTCTCATAAACTGCAATGAATAAATTCTAATCGATTCAACATCTCCTCATATGGCAGTCCTGCCATCCCAAGAATCACTCTGGTAAACCTTTGCTCCACTCCTTACATAACAAGGACACCCTTTTTCAGGTGAGGAGACTAAAATTGCACACAATATTCCAGGTGTGGTCTCAACAAAGCTCTGTATCAGGTTGGAGAGGCCAATGAAAATGTAAATTACAGCGGGTGCATTCAATATCACATTGGGTTTCAAAGAAAAAAGGACAGGAAACAAAAACTGAATCAAAATGACAAAGAGAAAGTAAAATGACACTTTTAAAATCTCCAACAGGAATTAAAATTTGAAGGAATGAGACTACACACTTTATTTTAGTGGCAAAGACGTTGTTTGGCAGTCATTAATGTTCAATACGTCATTGAAAGTGTACTTAAACCAGAATAAATAGGACTTATCTCTTCATTCCAGTCTTACCTCATTTCCACCACAAAATTATAACCTTTCACATCATTTACTGCATTTCAATTGCAAGGCTGACAGTGAGATGAGACCTTCATAAAGCTCAAGGTAGAGTGGCACAATTCAGATAGCAACATTCGGGCATGGGTGTTAAACCATGTGTTTGCCCTGCACTTGCCATTGCTGTAACACTGGCTCTTGTATCAATGTACGTTAATCGAATGATAAAATGTTGAATCATTGCTCATCCTATAGATAGGAAACAGGAAACTGTAATCTCCTCAAACATGTCAGAGCTGTCTCACGAACCAAAGGTCAAATGACACTGCTTGCCACATAAAATAAACGTAACATCTTCAAACAAAGTGCTCAGACAGCTCCAGCAGGTTTGGCTTACAAAAAGTACTCGGTGAAAGGATAATCAGGAAAGGATCTGGGAAAGAACCACAACCTGAAGATAACCCCAATAAGTGTTCACTTTCAATTCTATTTAACAAAATGTTAGAAGTTTTCTGTTCATGGAATTGTAATGTTCACCACAGACTATGGCAAAGAAGGAGAAAGAGTGCAAAAACATGATGGTACAGAAGGCAGAAGCTAGCTGTGGACAAGCAAATGGGGATTAAAGTTATGTTTAATAAAGTGTAACATACAAGGAGAAAATTGAGAAGTGCACTAAGTATGCTGTAAAAACATTGGCCTGTCAGCTTTTAAAAGGGAAGTTCAGAGTTGGTTGGTACGTAGAGCATGTCAGAATTCTTGACGCAATCAGCTAAATATTTTGTGTCGGACAAGTAAATAATTCTATAATTCCGAGCTTACAATAAATAAGGTTTTTGAATAGTCAGAAACATATGTCACAGTAGCATCGATTAGGATAAGCATTAAACACCAATAAGTATCAATATCTGATAATCAAACTGCCGGTTCACTGAAGCTACGGAGAAAATAAAGTATTGCATTTTCACTAACAGGCAAAGCATGGGACAACGTGAATCTGGATAAAGCACGAAGCAGACATGTAGGCTCTCATTCAATATGTTGTTTTTGAATCATGATTGCACTCTTCATTCTTTGAGCGCTCGTTGTCACTTTGTCCCTTTTACAAGGATCTTAGACTCTTCTGCTAGAAGTATTAGGTAACTAAGGCACAGAGTTATTGGTTCTTATGTGATGCAATGTTACAGAAGCTTTCAAGTGACTTCAGGAGAAGGGTGGGGGACGGGAGGAAAGAGAGAGAGAGAGAGAAGTGGACAAGGTTACAGCTTCGGAGAAGTAGACAAGGAATTAGATAACATACTGCAAGGAATAAGCAGGATCGAAGAGGTAAATTGGCAGTAACAATAGGGGAAAGAAAAACATTTGGAAAACACAGTATAGTCTGTGACCAATGCTGGCTCCAACGTTCTCCCTAAGCAACCCCAAAGATACAAACGTGCACACGACACCATGCACAAACATTTAATAGTTTCAGCACACGTACTTAAGCACCTCTCCAAAATACAAATCACAGAAATTGTTGGCAGTCACTGTAACATGAGTGAAGATAGACAGAAAGCTGCCTTCAGATACGAGTGAAGAAAGAAAACTCAGCTGTAGAACATTTTTGATCATAGATTCACAGTCATCTTTTTTTCCACTCAAATTACACTGCTACTGTCATGACCCTCTAGGTTGGCACATTGGCAATCAAGCCCCACTATTCCCAGAGTTATTACAAAATGTAAAGATTTTACCAAAGTTATAAAATTCCCTAATTTACCCATCTTTTTAGACCAGGTTTCTCTACTTAACAAGGACTGTTTTTTTTAATTCATTCATGGGATGACGGTATCACTGACTAGGCCAGAATTTATTGTCCATTCCTAATTGTCCAGAAGGCAGTTAATTGTCAACCACATTTCTGTGGGTCTGCAGTCAAATGTCGGCCAAGCCAGGCAAGGATGGCAGCTTCGCTCCCTAAAGGACATTAGAGAACCAGATGTATTTTTCTTACAATTGACAATGTTCGGCAGGGTCATCATTAGACTCATAATTCCAAATTGTTTTTATTGAATTCATCTATCTGCCATGGCGGGATTTGAACTGAGGTCCTCCAAACATTTTCTGGGTCTGTGGATTAACAGTCCGGTGATAATACCACTAGGCCACTGCCTCCCGTATATTATATTATTACAAATAGATTCTCACTACAGTTTAAAAACTGAGAACTGTCAATAAGGAGTTCTGCTAGTTAAAACACTAACCTCCTTATGAAACAACACACATACACACTTGCAGACTGATCTAAATGAAATGTTGGTGTTATGGCTGGTGGGAAAAACTAGGAAGGCAATTCGATAGCCCAGCGCCCATTGTTTGCTGAGTTGATCATTTTTAGCTTGCCAAGACTTCCACACGTGTGGACACAGGCAAAATAAAAATGGGGTGTTATGGGCGGAGAGAAAACCAGGAAGTCAGTTCAATGGTCCCCATCCACAGGGTTTGCCCTCTGTAACATCAGTGTTCATTAGGCCTACAAAGTCTATACACACGTTGAAGTCATTGCGACAACTGCACAACCTTCATCACCCACACCATAAATTATCTGATTTGTCCTACGCTCCTATGTTGGTGCCGATGTTCCACCTTAGCTATGCAGTCTGAGGATCTGCATGTGCCAATCGGCTTGCAACGTATCGAGTTCTTGTTTTGGAAGTCAAATACCTTAAAATATTTCGATCCCAGCCATAGGCAGCCTTCAGCCATGTCTCCATAACGGTAACCGAGTCATACTCATTGCTCCAAACCTATTGTGAAATGCTAATAACGTGGAATTCACTTGGAATAGAATGGCCAAGGTGAATAGTTCAGACATCCTTGGGAGGAAGCTACACAAGTATTTGAGGGAGAAGTGCTACGATAGTAAATTTAGAAGAGAAAACATGGGAGGAAGTTAAGCACTATCACCAGCATGAACACATGGTCCAATATGCGGTTTTTGTGCTGTGTATCCTATGTAATCCCACATGACAAAGTATTAACCTACTAACTGTTTTCCCCTTGAAAAACACAGAAATGAACAAGAGTACTGATCTCCATAACGGCACCAACTGCAAAGACTTGCGGAACCCAACGGTGGCAATGGAGGTCCTTCCAGTTTTGTATTTCTTTGTTTTTGTTGGAGGGTTACTGCTGAATGCACTGGCTGCCTGGATCTTCTGTCATATTCCAAGTCACTCCAGCTTTGTTGTTTATCTCAAGAACATTGTCACCACTGATCTGATAATGGTCATGACACTTCCTTTCAAAATCCTCTCTGACTCACATCTTGGGCCGTGGCAGTTGCAGGCTATTGTGTGTCGTTACACTCTGGTCATCTTCTACAATAGCATGTACCTGAGCATCACATTCCTCGGCCTTATCAGTTTCGACAGGTACCTGAAGATAGTACGGCCCATGAAAAACCTGACCGTGCAGAAGGTCACATTCGCCAAGTTTGTCAGTGTGGGTTGCTGGGTCTTTATGATAGCCTTTGCACTGCCAAACGTCTTTCTGACAAACAAAACCCCCACAAAGGATAATGCCGCACAGTGTTACAGATTGAAAAGCGAGCTGGGTAAAACCTGGCATCATTTCATCATTTTAAAATGCCAAGTTATTTTCTGGATCACCTTTGTGCTCCTCATTATCTGTTATCCAGCCATCTTAAAGAAAGTATACTGGTCCGATCGGAAGGTGCAAAAGGAGTCCAACTATGTGAAAAAGAGAGCAAATCGTAACATATTCAGCATCATGGTGGTCTTCGTTGTCTGCTTTGTGCCTTATCAAATTATCAGACTGCCTTATGATCAGGATCTAAAGAACAAAATAAATTGCACAACATTCAGTGGGCTGCATTACGCAAAGGAGGCATCACAGCTGCTATGTGCACTCAACATTTGTCTCGATCCAGTCATCTACTTCCTGCTATGCAAGTCATTCATGAAGCTACTGCTTAGAAAGAACAGAAAGAAGCCTCAGAATGATTCTATCCAATGTGAGAAGCAGAATTCTACCAACAATTAAAATATTCATTTAATCACCCAGACCCAACAAAACCCAATCCCGAGCTGTCATACATAATGACAAACCCATTCACTTCGTCAAGAAAGCTGGTTATGGCCGGGTATCTTACAAATGCAACCATGAGGTTTTCAAGTTGAAAAATGAAGCAATTTCTGATGCGGAAGGATCATACATCTCTCAGACATTTTCCAGCTCCCAACCCAAATGTGTGTCAGTACCTCACCTTCACAGAACCCAAAACATCATTTATTTTCTCATTCTTAGAGATGAACGTATATGAAGACACAATTAAATGGTTTACAAACTAGTACAAAAAGTGCACATTCTTCAAATGGGCTATGTTA